CTTCCCTTGCCTGCTAAAATAAGTGTCATCTTCCTTTGTTTCTATACTTAAACATTAATTACACTTAGAATTAGGTTAGTGAAAGATGCACACAAAGCACTCTCATTTAAAAGAATTTATCTCTGGGCCAAATTTCTACAAGAGATAAGATGGTCCATGTTTGAGACAGCAAATATGACAAAAGAGTTTTTGAATAAGCAGGACTGACAGAAAAATAATACATGAGTGGATGTGTCCATCTAATATTTTAACAGACCCTACCCACTAGTTTCCAGCTCACCTGGCTGTTCCAAATGCATTCACACACATTCCTCTTCATGCCTGCAACTTCCCTCATTTAAATATTGGACATTTTATTTTCTAATTCTAGTAAAGAACCTGGGAATATGCAGAACAACCCTACTGTCCTTTGACAGATCCACACAACCAGAAGGTGAATTTTATCAGCAGGGTCAGATCCCTCAACAAATGTACAGGTACTTCAAAAAGGGTAAACTGAGGAAAACACAATACTGCCTCTGCTTACCCCTTATATTAGAGCCCCCATAGTGGAACCAGAGACCTGAATTTGGTGCCCTCTGTAGCTCACAGCTCAAACCAGGTATCTTATGCCACCAAAGAATGGCATTAACTCCAATCAGGCTCACTCCGCTCACTTGAAGGAAAAGAGGGAACATGCAGCTCTCTAGTGGTTACTTAGGTGGAAGAAGAAATGTCTTATATCTGGTTTCTGTACCCTGCACTGAAGTTACTTTCTGTTTTTAAAACTCAATACAACTGAATATTTCTGCACTATGAATGCTGTCTTTTACACCGTGTAAAATCCTCAACAGAAAGGACAAATGTAAACTCATACTAAAACACTATAACCCCATGATGAAGGTATTTCTACAGAAAGGTTGAACACTTCAGAGATCTCCGATGTAATCACTGGGGCTATTCTCTAGTCTGACCTAGACAGAGTCTCCAAACATTAGGAATGTAGTTTCTTGCTTCTCATAGTCATACCCATTCCCAAACTCCAGGCTCATCTGGCACAGGCTACATCACAACACTGGTGCCAGCAAGGGAGCTGAGGAAGGGAAACCCATACAGGAAAGGTGACCTAACCACCAGCTTTAGGGGCTCAGTGGCTCCTTCATTCAGCTGGATTTTGGAACAGCTCCTGCTCTGCAAGGAGAAACCAAAATTCATTATCTCCTTGTGAATATAAAGACACTCCCTCAGACTTGTAATTTAGTGCAAATTCACAAATAAGTAGGAGCAGAAATTCTGCATCTCATATAATAGTTTAATTTATCTATATAATAGGCATGAGATGAATAAGTTCAGCTTCTGAGGGACTTTTTAAAATGAAAATAAATTATCATGATTTTTCATGACTTATCATGACTTTTTGACTTTTCATATAAAGTCAAAAAATACTCAATTACTTATCTACCTAGAGTGTTTTCTGGTTCTATAACAAATTCCTTCTGGCATGTAAGCATTCATCAATTGCCATGTTTTTAAGTTACCTCTTATTTTTTCCAGGATTTAAAACGAATGTTGAACTTATTGTTTTGCATTTTGAGAAATATTAAACTATACTTAGATTCAAAAGCACTCTTCATTAGAACATTTTATTGCATTTTCAATGTTAAAAAAAACTTAGTGATCAAAAAGTTCACAGATTTATGTATTTTGAAAGATTTTTTTCATTTTAGGGCAAATTTTGTGTCACAGTAGCCTCTTCTCTAGAAAAGAGTGCTTGTAAGAGGGATATCTATATTTTTTTCTCAAAAGGACCAGTTCAATACTTGACACCTTAAACATGGTTTGTGATAGAATGATCATCAAATCAATTCATGCTCCCTATGACAGAAATAGCAAAAAGGCAGTGATGCTGAACTGACACCTGCCTGCCATATCTGCCAGCAAGCACTGTATGTTTGTACTGGTTTGTTTGCTTTGCAAGGGCTAGCAAGGTGTAGGGGGATGAGTCTTTATCAGTTTTTCAACTCATACACTTGACAACATCCTTTTGGAGATTGTTATGCCTCTCTCCTCATCTGTAGCTACTGCAGCACAAATGCTTCTGGTACTGC